TTTTATTTTAATCAGATCACCACTGTCCCTTTTATTTTAATCAGATCACCACTTTCCTATTTATTTTAATCAGATCACCACTGTCCCTTTTATTTTAATCTGATCACCACTGTCCCTTTAATTTTAATCTGATCACCACTGTCCCTTTTATTTTTAAGGGAGAGAACGATTGATGATATTTGAACCTGATATTTTATGACAACCCAGGATCATTCTTCACCTTACACCTGTGATTAAATGCCTGTTATCTGGGTCATTCATCTAAGTGAAATGTGCCACCTGTATGTTATTCCATTTAGACTGTACAACCTTTTACTTCCTCCCACCTGGCCAAACTTTCAACCCATTTAACTAATTTATCCTCTACTCTGACTAAAATAATATTTCCATCAGTAGTTAGTTTCATATAGCATGTTTACCCTCATTCAGATAACAAGTAAAACCATTTAAAAAAGGTAGTGGGCTTGTATGGCACGATCTTCTCTTCTATTGGCCAGATTTTACAGCATGTTTACCCTCATTCAGATAACAAGTAAAACCATTTAAAAAAGGTAGTGCGCTTGTATGGCACGATCTTCTCTCCTATTCATCTGTGATTCGTTATTGGCCAGATTTTACAGCATGTTTGCCACACGAGATACTTTTTTTATACAACTAGTTAACAAACTAGACCCTGTTGAGTTGTAAGGTAAATACCAGACTACAACAGTTATCTAGTGGGTTTTGTGGCTCCACAGTTTCCAGCCGGTATGGCAGAACAACAGTTATTTAGTTGGTTTATGTGTGGGACCACAGTTTCCAGCCGATATGGCACAACAACAGTTATCTAGTAGGTTTATGTGGGTCCACAGTTTCCAGCCGGTATGGCAGAACAACAGTTATTTAGTTGGTTTATGTGTGGGACCACAGTTTCCAGCCGATATGGCACAACAACAGTTATCTAGTGGGTTTAAGTGTGGCTCCACAGTTTCCAGCCGGTATGGCAGAACAACAGTTATTTAGTTGGTTTATGTGTTGCTCCACAGTTTTCAGCCGGTATGGCACAACAACAGTTATCTAGTGGGTTTATGTGTGGCTCCACTGTGTTCAGAAATTGTTCTATCATATCATTGTTTATAGCAACTAAAAATCCTAAGGCTGGTTTATTGTTCCCACTAAGCTTCACGTACCACAGGATACTGTAGTGTATCTGGGCTGATAATACAGACGATCCATAACGTCAGATCGTGTAACAGTTGCCGGTCAACATTTAGCTAGATAGTGCAGTTTGGTACGACTATAGTCGATTTGCGTGACTGCAGCTCAACACTCTTCGTCAAAATTTCGGAGTGAATTGATTTATTTCGTGCCATCTACCACTAGTTTTTCTTCAGTTCTTGAACCTTTGGAGGCGTAGCGTGGGGATTACCTGTACATCACCACCTAACTCCCCACCCCCTTGTAAGACTAGATTAGCTGTGTGGGTTAACCTGACACGTGTTGATTCGAACAGACGTCCACTCTTCACCTTCACCTTCATAGCATACAACTACAGATCAAACGGATCAGAAAACTGTTTGTTCTGAAATTGAGGATTGTGAGTTTTATTCTAGAAAGTTTGGAAACGGGTTTCGAGAGAAACCGAACTGCGCTGCGTACTCCAGTCACCCCTTTTTGCAATCAGGCATTGCTTTTATTGTCGTCTTTATTTCTCTATGAAATATACACAAAAAACGATAATTTTGTGCTGAGTATTGAAGAATCACTGTCCAGAAGAGATTATGCTTACATTAGCATCATTTAGTGATAGGCTTAATGTGATTATTAAGAATGACCAAAAACACTTTTTACTTTCTTGAGTAAAACTTATTATCATCAATGTGCATCTGGTGGAATTCTCTTCATTTATGATAAGCGGTTTTTAAATATAGATTTTTTTTTCTCAGTTCTGGTTGGGGGTGAGTTATTCCGATGAAATAGGAGGGGAGTATTTTATTTATAACTTAGAAAGTTTGGTTGTCTGGTAAAGCATGACCACATGTTAACCGCCTTACGTCGTCCTGCAGAGTCAGAGCGTTCCGCGGCAAAGTAAAGTGCGTACTTCAGAATATATTTAAAGACGTGACAACTTTATGAGCTGATAGAGCAGGCGGCGGTTGTTGTCTCTCTTCCAAGTCGTTTTTTTTTAGGTAGTTTTGAACCATGTGTGACCTCCCTAAAAAGACGGGCCAATGACTGATAGTGTGGTGCTACCGTGACCTTTCAACTCTTCTGAACTTCTACCTCGAATGTTGTGTATTTTAACTCGTAAGACACACTGCGTAGTTTTTTTAACAAATACACACCACGTTTTAATTAGCGTGAATACAAGGCTTGACATCCACCAGGTGTCAGCATTGGTCCCCATGTATAAGTCTTATTCAGTGCAGATATATTTTTTCTCGACTTTTCCCAGCTAGCTAGTCTTCAGGGGGCGTTGATTCATCTATTTCAGTAAGAGGTTAATTGGTTTTGAAGTTTGAGTCTAAGTTATTGCTGCTACTACGGTTATATGCTAGCGTATTAGTTGAACTTTTTGTTGTTACTCAATTTATCATTTTAGCCTTTGGAAAAGCTTGAACATTCGTTGTTCATAAAAGTTGAGGAAATAAATAAATAACACCTAGACCAGTACTATGTCCAGCCAGCCTTGGTGCTGAGCGAAAGGACTCCTCGGCACTGAATGTGGCATACGTACTAGTGTGGGTGACATATTGTAACATTCTCATCTGTTTTCACTTACGGCTCTTAGAACGATATTGAGCGCCCCCTAGTAGAAGGAATTGCAACGGCTTACACATTAAATATCGCCACCGCATAGCAGATGAAACAGCATATCTGAAACTTTATTGTTCAATTGTAAATTTGGAAAATCTACATTAGAGCATTAGATGTACAGAATATTAGTAGGCCACCAGGGGAATATAAGAAAAATCATTACTAGAAACTTTATTGTTCAATTGTAAATTTGGAAAATCTACTTTAGAGCATTAAATGTACAGAATATTAGTAGGCCACCAGGGGAATAGAAGAAAAATCATTACTAGAAACTTTATTGTTCAATTGTAAATTTGGAAAATCTACTTTAGAGCATTAGATGTACAGAATATTAGTAGGCCACCAGGGGAATAGAAGAAAAATCATTACTGGAAGTTACTTATCATTCTACAGTTAACTTTCACATAATTCTACATTTAGAAAATGTTTCTCTCTCTCTAATACCTACACTGTTGTATTCCGGTCATTCACTTTTAAAAGGTGCTTAGCGTGCTCGATTGTTTGTTTATAAAACTGGACAATGACAGTTAATTTGTATGGACTGAACTGACATGTTTTCCTAACAACAGAACACTTTCGCCGGTTAAACTGAAAGCCCCCCCCCCCCATTAGTTAGCCAGGCCGCATTTTTTGTTCAACTTATACATGATGGTGGGTAAAACAAAATACGCGGCCCAGCTGTTTAGTGAATGGACATTTACTGTAAAATTCTTATCAATGCTTATAAGTGTTGCCACCAGTTTGGCCACCAACAAACCATAACAAGTAAAAAGTGACATTCGATAATAACCAGCATTAGCTTTAGGATCGCAGCCTTATTATTCGGAACAGACCTTTACTTGACAGAACCAACCAGATTCTTTAAAATATATGGTGGTAGTTTTTCCTCTCTAAAACAGCTTAATAGCTTCCTTTATAGTAGCGCCATGGAATTTAGATAAACAGTTTCTTGTCATCACCCGCATGCAATCGGTACAGTGAATTACTTAAGCTAATATTATGTGACGCTAAACGCTCTTTAATGAGAATAATTTCGTAAAATTTAGTACATTTGCGCTGAAAAATTGGCAATGAATAATAACCGTCCATCTGTATGATTCTTTTGAAAGCTTGAGCTAGAAACTGGTAATTTGCTTGGCCTAACCAATACATATGTACCTGCAAGTCATTTCCCTTGTAGGTTTGCTGCTCTATATCAGCCGTCTTTAATCCGAATGACAAAAAACGACCCACTGTTACTCTTAGATGAAGCTGTAGTACAAATTTCAGATCAATAGCTCACGTGACTTTTTGTGTAGGCATGCGCAAAAGATTTTGATCAAATTTGAGCTGTTCTTGTTGAATAACTGTGCACGTGTGGTTATATTTAGACCAAATTTGACACCTAATTATAGATTTATAGAGCTAACAGTGTATCAAATTTGAAAAAAAAATCCATAAAAGTATGTTTTTCTATCAAATAAAGTTTCCATACTTTTGGTGCGAAGAAAAAAAATCTGAAGAAACTCATTCAAAATTGGAGTGTTTCTTATTGGAAATTTTGTATGTGAAGTACAAGTCCAATCACTGATAGTTTGGGTAACCACCCTCCGAGATACAGAAGGTGGAAAATCACAAAACTATAGCTTCTGTTAATAACACACAGTGTGTCCTGTAGGTTGTTTTTCTTTTAATATTCTTACTTTTTTAATAAAATGTATTTAGTTCGTGCACCATCGTTAGGGCGCGCTATAATGAATATGGTTCGTATTATTAATTGAATGAAAAAATGTAACACGTCTGGCAAGTAACAAAAATAATGTAAATTTTCAATGGAGTAAAATCCAAATTTGCTAGGTTACTTATTTTTATGTGAGTTGTCTAAAAGTTAACCATCAGAAAGATTCTACTTTACGTTTTGGACTCGCTGTTTGTAATAAATACATCAGTATCTATGTTGATAACGGTACGTATATCTTTAAGGATATATCATAAACCTTTTTATATCGCAGGTTTTGTAGAAATTATTTAACTCTTTCACTTTCTTCTAAATATTAGTTTCTTTCACAAATTCGGAGTATAATTCATCCTTTTATATTGATTGTAAGTCGTAGCAGTTTAAAACTCTTTAACTTTCAATTACAAACACATTCTAAATTGAGTAATACAGTAAAAAGAATTCGGAAGATATTTTATAATTTTTACCCTTATTTTGTTTTTTACAGGTTTGAATTCTCCACAGAAAGCAGCATTCCGCCCCTCTAGCACAATGTATCCTCCTCTTCTGTTACTAGTGCTGTTTGTTTCAGCGGTTTTCAGGATAGCAGGTAAGTTATTGTTTATTAATCTGTCATAGTGTATCCTCCGTGGTTAATTTCGGCGGTGTTCTTATACACCAATCTTTGTTCATTAATCTGTCACAGTGTATCCTCCGTAGTTAATTTCGGTGGTGTTCTTATACGCCAATCTTTGTTCATTAATCTGTCACAGTGTATCCTCCGTAGTTAATTTCGGTGGTGTTCTTATACGCCCATCTTTGTTTATTAATGTGTTACAGTGTATCTTCCGTAGTTAATTTCGGTGGTGTTCTTATACACCAATCTTTGTTCATTAATGTGTTGCAGTGTATCCTCCGTAGTTAATTTCGGTGGTGTTCTTATACGCCAATCTTTGTTCATTAATCTGTTGTTAATAATGTGATTATATTAAATTTATTTTCAGCACAAAATAAAAAGTAATTTGGTAGAAAACGAATATCAAGCCCCGTGATTGTCCTTATTTTTTTATTTTTTTATGAATACTCAAGATCCAAACCATTTTGTTAAATACACCATATTATTTTTTGTTTATTATTGGCACCATACCACCAAGATTTCCCGCTGTTTTCAAGGTGTTTACTAAATTATTAAACATTTTTTTATTACTGGCACCATACCACCTAGATTTTCCGCTGTTTTCAAGGTGTTTACTAAATTATTAAACATTTTTTTGTTTATTATTGGCACCATACCACCAAGATTTCCCGCTGTTTTCAAGGTGTTTACTAAATTATTAAACATTTTTTGTTTATTATTGGCTATATACCACCAAGATTTCCCGCTGTTTTCACGGTGTTTATTAAAATTAAACAATTTTTTAATGCATGTTTTTTTTAAGGAGAACATGTTTAAGCAGGTGAAGTTATTTCTATTTCCGGCCAAACTACTGTCCGTTTCTGGTTCATTTTGAAGTACATCTTAGTTAAATGTTTTGACCAACTTTTGAAAATTGGTTTATTGGGATCTCTTGTGTGAGTCTATAATATTTATTGACTGTAGATCTCTATAGGATATGAATAACGCATTAACAAAATGCATACCTATCTTAGGCATTAGATAGAGAAGTTCATGTAGATTGTAATGTAACAAAATATTATGTTCAAAACATCGTGTATTTATTGAAACATAAGCAAGATAATAAAAGTGTGTTTAATAACTACTGGCATCTCATAATAGAGAAACTGTACTGAATTAAACAGCATTAGACATTCACAGTAGGAAGTTTACATAATACTTGGTCCGTTTGAAACGGTTTATCAGGGTTAATTGGCGTGTTTTCAACCAATGACTGTCTCTACAACTCTGAAGCTGTTAAATAGTTATCGGTTTGACGGCTTAAACTTCGCCGAAAAATTAGCAGTGTTATTACGAGTGTAAGCCTCGTTTGAAAATATGGCGTCATCAGTGCAAACTTGTAAATTTGTTGCCTTATTACTCCAGTTTCTTCCTTTACTATATTTCTAACAAAAACGTCTCCACCTTTTCGGCCCTCATGTTTCCGCTGCTTCTCCAGCCATGTAAACAATTGGGTCACATAACATGATCTCTGAAATTGTTGAAAGTTTGCACTCGTGAGTAGTCTGCTTCTGAGCGCGTGAGCATCTGCCTTAACTAAGAGTTTGTGGGACTTATCAGATACGCCACCATTAAAAAAAATATATATATCCTTAATAAGGACTGTTATTTTATGCACCATATTGTAGCCGCTTATCCCATCCAAGCGAAAACGTATTTGCAGAGTCTCCCGGTGTGACGGCGGTGAGTCTGAGGGCTTACAACACTAAAATCCAAAGTTCGATTCCTCATGGTGGACACAGCCGATGGATCACTGTGGCTTTGTTATTAAAACAAACACACAGACGTATCTGCATAGTTCGAGATGTAAAATATGGTAGCCAAACAACACCTGTAAGATGGCATTAAGGGTCCCGGAGTTTCCATGTTGCCGGTATTTTCTTGTATCGATTTCTTAAGTCATTAATACACTTTTGACCAAAATACAAGCAGAAAAATGCAGAAGGACCACAATCGTATTTTTGTTGTTTTGTACAAGGAATGTGAACAGTGCCGTAGCTTAGAGACGAGGTAGTTGATTTATAGGAAGGGGGCGTGTATTTTAATATTCATATTCTTGATTGTGGAATAATATATGAAACTCAATTAATAACATTTTCATTGCTCGATAAACAGGCTTATTTGATTGTCATAATATATAAATATAATTTCTTATAATAAGAGTATTAAAATTTTTTTTTCTCCACGAATGGCCGACTGCAAACCTTTGAATGGATGTCTTGACAAAAGAAGTTTAGATCACGTAATGTTGGTTTACAACCATAAAAAAAACCGGTAACAACAAACCAGTGTAATAATTCATAAGTCATTAAATAATTCAAACAATGTTACTCTATCTCTTGAGAATGACTAGCTTGACCTGTC